CTCCATTCTATATGCGCACTACCTGCCCACTAGTCACTTAGTTGCATTCTAGGTTATTAGATTGACTGTCGCAGTATTGCAGTGCTTGTGTTCAAGTAACCCTTACTGTACTTAATAATGGCCCCAAAGTGCAAGAGTAGTCATGCTGGCCATTCAGATATGCTAAAGAGAAGCCATAAAGTGCTTTCTTTATGTGAAAAGGTATGTATGTATAGAAAAAACTTAGCATATATAGGGTTCATTATTGTTACTATCCATGGTTTTAGGCATCCACTGGGGATCTTGCAATATATCCTCTGCAGACAAGAGGGGACTACTGTATTTTTAAAATGCTAATCAGTGAAGTATTACAGTTGGCTTATACACTATATATATGCATACACAATACAATAATGCATACACAATCTGTATGTAATACTTATTAACTGGGATATAAATTAGTAAGTATAATAGCAGCAAAGTACCACTGTCTCTAGAATATGTACTAAGATTTATCATGTTGATATTATAGATTCATGACTAAGTGTTATTAGTGCTGTAACTAATAACAAATATAAAACTGCAAATGTACAAAGCTACCAAAGGCCCTATTTGACTTTTCAAAATGCTGTGCTTCTCACTGGGCTCAAAGGTTGTGAGCAAGCCGCTGATATCTGAATGAAGTACTGGTCCCAAGTTCTGGGCTCCAATCAGGTATAGTTCTAGTGATTGGGTGGGACTAGGCAGAGGTGCCAAATAATGCATTTGAGAAGAGTAAGGAGCAAAACCCACTATCATAAGAGCATGTTTGGCCGTCATTGAATGTATGTGCCTTTTACTTTAAGTTTTGTCAGCATCCTGTAATTAATAGTACTCAGCAGATGACAGAGGATGGCCAGGAGACAAGATGAGGAAGTGGTGTTCTGTGAAGGAGATGAGAAGGAATGAGATGGAAAATGCCTCTAGACTATTGATCGGTTGCCTCGATAGACCATGGGATTGAATTGGCAACATCCAACAGTGGCGCTTTTAAGTAGCATTTCTCTCCACATGCCACACAAGGACGAATCACAACTGTACACCCCATTAATATATGGCATTTAACCTCATCATTAGGGGCCTGATAGTTTGGAGAGCTACTTGACCAAGGTTTGCAAAACAGCACTAAAGTAGTGGGTGGCATCTTTATTCCAGATGAAAGAAACAAGGCAGATTTAGCACAGCATCACTCCGTTGCTCAGCCTGGGGAGAGGGTCCCATTGCTGTGCCCCGTTCATTAGGTGGTTCCGTTTCACAGAACCTCAGGGTAAACATCTGCAGTCAGCCAATAAAGAACATTACAAAACTTCCACTGTGGCATGAACTAATTCTGTCAGATGGTCTGGGTTTTTGCAGCCCTTTTGCTTCCCAGGAAAACAGGTGGTCTCATTTCAGTCTTCATCTTTTCAGTGTCTCCACCCTTTGCTTTGTGTTAAGCCTTTTAGCTGGGTTGCAATAATGTCTCCGTGGGGAGCACTTTCTTATGGTAAGATTCAGAAAAACAGAGATAGAAAATCCTGACTCACCAAAGAACCGCATTTCATTCCAGAATGCTCCACTACAGTCTTCTTGAGCAGAAACATAAATTTTGTCACATGAATATGAGGTCATAAAAGAAGAACTAGGATTCTGAGGATTGATCATTATCTGGGATCAGATCTTGTGCTTTTCTTGGGAGTTTATATAAAATCCTGCTTTTAAACTGTGACAATGATTCTCAAAAATACAGGAGTCTGGACTTAGGACTAAGGAAAGTAATTAAATTTAATTACTAGAGAGTCTGGCACAGCAGATACATCGGATTTTTTGGCATCGCCCTTTCAGAGCTGTCATTAATTTAAAATTTTATTCCTCAATAATTTATCATTTTACCCATTCTGTCTTGACTTTTCTCTCCAATCCTAAGAATATCTTCTGTACCCATGAAACTGTAGTTGTACCTCTAATAGGCTCCAAGTTCAAGCCTTTCAACACTGCTTTAATCTAACCGAAACCTGTAATGGTCCCCTTTGCCACAATGCCATGGAAATTGGGAGAGCATAAAAAATTCAGTGTACTTTTCAGAATAACTATGGCCCCGAATATTACGGCCCTCATTTGGGGCCATCAAGTAGCTTTTCAGCTGATCTTGAAGTTAATTCTGAGCAAATATGATAACACTGTTTGACCTGAAAGATCCCCAGGGCTTTTGAAAATAAATGATATGGATGGCTCACCATTTTCATTGCTGGCAGTTGTAGAGCGAGTCACAGAACTAAAGCCTATTTCCCTCCGTCCCGTCACTGAGTCCTCCTGCTTGGCCTTAGGTCAAGGAGCAGAATGCGCACATCCTTTATAATATGCTGAGCAGCTCTTTCCTGGGGTGAAAATCTTGCTAATTCAAGGGTGTTTATCAGGGTGAACTGTAAATAACCCTCCTCCTACCTCCCAGGATTCCTGTGCTGAATTTCAAAACGAAGCATGAAGGAGCGAGCGCCTGCGCTCACCACGCAGAGCAGGACTCCGTGCATGTGACCTTGGTACTACTGTCTGTGCTTTTTGTGTCGTGTTCAATGACTTTTCCCTAATCATGCAGACACTGAGGTGCACTTAAATGCTACAACACAAGTGCAACTATATATTTTAAAACTAAAGGAAAAAAAAATCAAGTAAACATTTCACTGAACAGTCAGCAGCCCTTGAGTGTCACTGGTGTCCTGTGTAGACACCTGTCACACACCTGGCCTCATAGCACCAAGCACCTGGACAAAGCTGAGGCTCAAATAAAACAGAGGATAATTCTCCTCTTGCCTCCTTATCTCTTTGCCAAGTAACAAAGGGTTAAAGAGGGGAAGTGGTCTAGTCCCTAGCAATTGACCATGAATTTAAAAAAAGGCTAAAAAAACAATAACAACAAATAAAACCCTGAGGGTAGGCCACGGATTTCAGAGCTTGTCACTGGAGTTTAATATCAGAATTGAAGGAAAATTGAGAAAGTGAGGGCATTCACTTCCTGACTCCTTTCCATAGAAGGCCCTAAGCATATTCTGACAATAAAATCCCAGAAACCTCTTTGGAGATGGGTGCAAGAAAGGAAAGGTTACACCAGATTTTCCCAGAGGCATTTGTGTTGTGACCTCCTCAAGCTGTGGAAGCTAATGGTCAGGGCTTAAATTACTTTACAGAGAGTAAAGGTTGGAAGACCAAGAGTTGGGGCTGTGCAAGTACTTTCAGTAGTTCCTCTAGCATACCCCCCAGCAATGAGCATCGAAAAGGAGAAATGGGAAACTGCTGGGCGGTGGTCTACCGATCTTTAGACATGTACATACTGACGCAAGATTCCATGTTTACCTTTCCTCCTTAAGAATCCAGAAGCCAACTCTTGCTTATGGATTCTTGAACAGTTCTTAGAAGCACTGAAGTGGACACAATTCCCATGTCCAGTTTTCATTCTAGCCATTTCCTTTTTGATCCTCTTTTGGAGGGTCTTCCTTAAGAACTAAGAATTCTTCACGACCCAATTCATCCTCTGCCCCAGGGCGTGGCTTGGGAATGGCTTCTCAGATCTGGAGCATACTCACACAGGAACGCTGCCCACCCTCCCGACTGAGGGAGCCGGAACTACCACAGCGGAGTCACAGGTCACTCACAGTCCTGAGGTGCATGGTCCTGTCAAGGGATGAAGACCATGGCAGCATCGGGTCTGGGTGGGAAAGTTCAGGAAGCTCCTCTGTGAGTGCTCTTGAGGTAAGAAGCACTGAAGATACTTAATCTACAAATAAATAAATAAATAAATAAACCACAAGAGGGCTCTTTATAGATAAGCACCTCTTATCAATAAAAAAAAGTCCCCTCTTGAGTTTCAAAGCCCTCATGCACTGGGGATTGGTAAGCTTTAAACAACCTGCAGAAAATAGAACAATCAAGACATAAACTGGAAATGTTCCAACACTGGGTATTTCTCACTTGATGACACACAAGTCATCCTAAATGTCCCCGAGGTAGTCTTGTTTTCAAGGAGTTACAGAATGGCTCCAAAGCCATGTGGAGCATCCTCCTTAAACCCATTGCACTTTCCCACACATCTTGTGTCTGTCTCCACGGTGCCACAGGCCCTTTAAGTGTTGTGTCCCACAGAGCAGCCCCGAGTCCAAGGCAGACAACAATAAAATGCAATTCCAAGATCTGGCTTGAAGGTTCCACTCCAAAAAGGACTTTGCCAAAATGATGCAGGTGCTTACCTGGCAGACACTTTGGGAAAAGCTACAGAATTAAATAAGTAAAAAAAAAAAAAAAAAATCCAGCGTGCAACAAACATGCATGGCTTTCTGTTGTTGGGCCCCACATTGGACAGATCTCTCTCATCCTTGTTCCTTTCATTTTTAAGAAAGGGCCAAAAAAAGAAAGGAATCGATGCTTTAAAACTGGCAAACACATTTCTGACACCAAGAACGGTATGCAATGTTTATCGAAAGAATGAAGTTGATCAGTTACCAAGCACAAGCTATGCAAGAACAACTTGTGGCTGAAATACCTTGGTGATAAATGTCTAACTCTCCAAGGAAAGAAGTGGTGACCTTCGACATGTCTAGAGAGAACCAGTGCTTGGCCCTTTCTCCCCTCAAAAGCCAAGCTTGATGTTAGAGCCACCCACAGGGCAGTCTGCACCTGCAAGGAGCCATTCTTTTGACCGGGAATGTTTTCCCTGTTCAGCTTTCTCACTGACTCAAACACAACGTCCTGAAAGACAATCAGGAACCAGGCCCACTAGGGGACAGACGTTCAACACCCCAATGGTTCTTGGAGACTCCATTTCTGTGTTACATTCAACATCATAACCCATTGGGGAGATCCTGGCCTTGAGCTCATGAAACATGCTTTCTTCCCGTGGACTTAAGTTTTTCAAAAGTCTCATTGGGAAAAATGCAATTAAAGAGACTGTAATTTTATCCAAATGGCCCTGTGAGGAGGGGGAAAAAACGCCCTCCTCCTCTTACTTCACCATCGCTGCCCAGGGGCCATCCTAACAGAAAACCCTTCAGAACTCCAGCCTGGATCAACTAATTCAACATTAAGATAAAGAAAAAACTAAATCAGCATTTAGAGAAAGCTCTATCCTCCTGTAGGAGGTCATTCAATTCAATGACAGTTGTGGCAAAATCCACCAGGTCCACGAAGTCAGACGTGATGATGTTGACACCCATGGCTCCAGGCTTCTGAGCTTTTACCCAGTCCAGGATGGCAGGAAGATTCCTACACAGGGGAGTGTTGGGGGAAGAGAGAACAGAGGGCAGAGTTTAGAAGGGCTCCTCCAGAAATGGAAACAAAACATTTCCCTTAATGTAACAAAAGGATATCAATAAAACTAGGAGCACCCAGAAGTTTGTTTGTTTAGGCTTCCTACCTCTCTCAGGGACAAAGTGCTGTCTACTCCACCAGAGGACTGTACTTTCAGGGTTGCTGTGCTGGGAGAGGAGATTATTTGCCCCAAGCCTCAAAGAGATGCATGTGAACAGGAGCTTAAAAACTAACGTCATAAGCCTAATTAGTAATAGGTTCTTTATGTTTTATCACAAAAATTTTTAAGGATATTGCAATACTGAAAGAAATTTACAGTAAGTATATCGACCATCTAAGTTTTAGCAGTAACATTTTACTATATGTACTTGCTTATCTTATCTGTCACTCTATCCTTCTATCAATCTATCTTATGTTTTTGACAAATTCCAACTGCAAACATCTATATGCATCCCCTAAATATCCCAGTATGTAATACCATTAACTAGTCTTCTGTATTTGTTTTCAAGTTTTCTTTTGGCATAATGCCTATATCCACTGAAGTGCACAGATCGTAAGCATAAACCAACTGAGTTTTGACAAATGTATACACATGACCCATACACATATCAAGGTACAGAACCTTGTCAGCACCCCAGAAAGTTCCTGCATGCACCTTCCCCTTCAATCCCTGCCCCCATTCTGTCAGAGGGAATAATTAGATTGATTTTTTTTTCTACCACAAATTAAATTTGTCCGTTCCAGCACTTCATACAAGCCACGCAATTTGTATTCTTGGGTAGGAGGTCCTTTCATTCAACAAATAGTCTTGAAATTCCCCCATGTTGCTTCCTGCATCAGTACTTTATTCTTCTGTTAAAATAACTGCATAGTATTCTATTGTATGAATATACTGTAGCTTGTTTATCCATTTTCCTAGTGATGGGTAAGAAGGCTGTTTGCATTTTTTAATATTACGAATTAAACTGTTATGGTGTTCGTATGCAAGTCTTTTAGTGGACATCTGTTTGTATTTCTCTTGGGTAAATAACAAGGAGTGAAACTGGCCTATTATGTGGTAGGTTTATATTTAATTTTAAGAAACTTCCAGACCTTTTCCCAAAGAGGTTGTTCCACTGTACATTCCCATCAACAAAATATGAGAGTTCTGGTTGTTTCACATCCTCTCCAAAATTTGGTGTTACCAGTCTTTTTAATTTTTGCCATGTTAGTGGGTGTGTAAAAATATCTCATAGTGTTTTAATATGCATTTTTCTGATGACTACTAATGCTGAGCAGTTTGTCCTATACTTATTTGGCCATTTGCGTATCTTCTTTGGAAAGTATCTGTTCAATATTTTTACTTTCTTTTGGTTATTAAGTTGTGGAAATTATTTATATATTCTGGATACTAGTCTTTTTGTCAGATATACTTTTTGATATTATATCCCTGCCTAAGCTTGCCTATTAATTCTTTCACTGGCATATTTTGGTGAGCTGAATTCCTTAATTTTGATGGAGTCTAACATCAATTTTTTTTATGGTTTCTGTGACCAACTGAAGAAAATTTTGCCTACTCCCAAGTCACAAAGGTATTTCCCTGTTTTCTTCTAAAAACTTTATGGTTTTAGCTTTTATGTTTAGATCTACAATATATCTCGACTTAATTTTCATATATGGTATTAATAGGGTTCAAGGTTCACTTTTTCCATATGCATATACAGTTACTCCAGCAGTATGTACAGCTTCTTAAGAGACAAACGCTCACTCAGTTTCTCACATTTTATAATTTGAGGGCTCTCTATGTGATAGAATATTTTACCAAAGAAGCTCATAATTTAGCGACACAAACAATTATGAATGTTTCATATGATACTTTCATTAGTAGTGTGTGTAAAATATCATGGGGGTAGAGAGGCAGAAGCTATGAAGTGTCCTCATAGTTTTGCATCATGGTAAAATAGGGGTACGTACAGGAGGCAATCAATGGATGTTTCTCTCTAACCCCCCTTTCTTTCTCTCTCCCCCATCCCCCTTCCTTCCTCTCTATTTAAAATCAATAAACATATCCTGGTGAGGATTAAAAACAAACAAACAAACAAACAAACAACTTTCCTATAATGGTCAGTCACATCCTGCTGCCTACATGGCAAAATGTTGTGGCCTAAGGACGAAGGGCCCCAAATACAGTCTTCTCTTGGAGACAAAGACCTGGAATACCCAGTGGTTCACAGGAAGGCTACAGTAGTACTGACCCATTCAAGACTTTTTAAAAATTGCTAGTCAATGTTTTACTATGAAATGTAGGTGCCACCTTCTGGTGATCATGGGGAAATGAGAATGAAAGGCTCCCTGGCAACTCCCGCTGCCTCCAGCGGGAGCCAAATCTCTGGGGGTCCCTGGAGCCTGAGCAGAGAAATGTGGGAAAGGCAGGCATCTGCAGTCTCAGGTGACAAAGAGCTCTCTGTCAGCTTTGGGTTGCAGGTGTCGACCAAGGCGAGGATCAAATAACCAGGATTACACACTGTAGAACCCACTGCAAGGAGAAGCCGCTTTATTTTCTTAACTCCTGATATTTGCCAAGATGAGACATCAGTGAAAAAGGCTGAGCCAGGTGTTGCTGACAGGCTGCGGGGCGCCCAATCCCACGGGCTGCAGAGCTGTAGGTTAGGAATGTCCCTTTGACTTCGAGGCCCACTCCACTGTGTTTCTGGGTTTCCTTAGACAGGGATGACATACCTATTTTGTGCTAGGTACTGCAGGAGGCATTTTCATATAAAGACTCTACAGTCTTATGTGGTATTAGTAACCCCATTTAACCGGTGAGAAACCTTTAGCAAACTTGTCAAAGGCCACCGTTTTGTTAAGGGACTGCATTAATTTGCTAGGGTTGATATAAGACGAAGCCACAGACTGGGTGGCTTAAACAGCAGAAATTTATTTTCTCACTGTCCGAAGGCTGTAAGTCCATGATCACGGTGTTGGCAGATTTGGTTTATTCTCAGGCCTCTCTCCTTGGCATGTATATGGCTGCCATCTTGCTGTCTCCTCACATGGTCTTTTCTCTGTGCACACACATCCCTGACGTTTCTCTGGGTGCCCAAATTTCCTCTTCTTCTAAGAGCACCAGTCAGGTTGCACGAGGTCCCACCCTAACTGGCCTAATTTTAACTCCATCACCTCTTTAAAGGCCTATCTCTAAATATAGTCACATAATTGCTACTGAGGGTTAGGGCTTTAGCATAGGAATTTTCAAGGAATACAACTCAGCCATGCAGGGACCAGGTCAGGCTGCATCTCAGTCCTCTGATTTCAGTCTGTGTCCCCTTCTACAGTCTCATGCCTTAGGCAAAACTTCCTTTCATTTGATTTTAGTGGGAATGCAGAATTTCTAATAATCTAGGGAAAACTCTCAGAGAAATTCAGTCAGAATTCTATTCACAGCTTCCATTTAGAGTAATGAACCAAATAAAATAAGGTCTCAGGTCTGAAATTCACTGAAGAGTTGGGGTGGGGTGGGGTTAACTCTCTGCTGAGAAAACCACTATATTTTAGGAAAACATATATTGTCTTTTTTCTCTGCGTTAAGCTGATAATCAGCGCCCAAAACCAGTTTGACAGTACCCTTATTATGTTTTAGTTAGGACAGACCTTCCAAGTATTGGCACTCAGGGGAAGGCCCTGTAACAACTGCTTCTTTCCTAAGCTTGTTCCACAGCCCAGAGGAAATGACGGCCACAGGTCGTGCTGGCATTAGGGAAGGAAGTCTTGACCACAGCTGAATTTCTTCCTTCAGTTGATGTGGAGGCCTAGGAGTGCAGGATGTATCCTTGTAACATTCTTGTGACCAGACGGAGTCAAGATGCCCAGGTGTCTTTCGGTCCTGGAGACACCTGCTTGCTGCCGTGGGCCAGGGCTCTGGCATGCTAGGGCGCCTTTCTTTGTGCGCGGGCCGCCATCATTACCACTAAGTCCAAGGGCCTGGTGCTTCATTTGCAGCCAGATTAAAGCTCTAGGAATTTATGCATATGAAAAGCATTGAGACTTTGTGGGTTCACTGTTGTAATCAGTAAGATCTGACCAGATTTAGGTACTAATAAGGCAATTACTGGCCAGTGGAGAAGAAAGGACCAGGATTCTGAAATATCTATACCAAGTCAATGATAAATCCTGAAAAGGGCAACAGTCCAAAAATCAGAAGTCCAGAGTTGAGACATAATATTGACTCTTACCAGCTATGTAGGTCTGGGTCACTGAACATCACTGAGCCCCATCTGAAATGCAGACAATAATATGCTCCAGACCAGCAGTCCCCAGTCTCCAGGTGGTGGACTGGTACCGGTCTAGGCCGCATCAAGCAGGAGGTGAGCTTGAATGTAATGCGCTTTAATTATCCTGAAACCATCCCTTTCACCTCTGGTCCGTGGAAAAAATTGCCTTTGATGAAACTGGTTCCTTGTGCTAAAAAGGATGGGGACTGCTGCTTTAGACAGTATACTCTCCTGGAGGTTGGCTTAATTGAAGAATGAAATGAAATCTTCTGCAAGAGGGTACTGCATATTCAAAATACAGTACACAAATATAACTTATCCTTGTTTTTTAAATATGCCCTCTCCTTTATTAGCATAGTTATCTGGATAGACTTTTATAATAGTGATTTTCACTTTTTTTTTTTTACTAATTAGTATGCTTATTTTTCCTGATAGACCATAAGCTCCATGAGGGCAGAGGCTACATTCTTCATCCGGTGTCTATGGACCTAGCTGCTCCTAGGTGCTCAGTCTTTGTTGAATGAATGAATAAATAAATAAATAATGTTAATCTACAAATTTACCAAAGGCATGAGGAAAACGGTATGGATATGGGAACATGTATTATAGAAAAAGAAAGTTCATAATTCTGGATCTTTCAGAGACATATCACTGGGTTATGAAATGCTCATTTTCAGGTTCAGCACAAATAATTCAGTCAAATCTTAGTACAGCCACACAAAAAAAGGTCTGCTGATGGCCATATCATCAGGAACTGTCACTGAGAAAGAAAAATTTGTGTGCTCCTTGGTATCCACACTCCTGCTGGGGGAACTGCAGCTATCTGAAGTCATGCTACTCAAACTAAGAGCCAAATACACATAGATAGGGATATGGTTTTGGGTGAAGCTTTCACTGTCTGAGTTCTGGTGCTCACCACCTGGAACTCAAGAACTAAAGTGATTCTTGTAAACTTCCCTTGTTACCCATGCATGTTAGCTTCCTCAGCTTGGGCTGCAAAGAATGCTCTGTATCCAAATGTACTTCTAACGGTCCCTTCATATGTATACATACACATGTCCATAGACATAGATATTATATACACACATACATGTACATATATACAAGGCATCCTTTTTCTTGACAACACTTATCATCTGTTGGTGTCCAGCATAAAGACTATAATGCAAAACAAAATTTCTGGAGCTGCTCTTGTCTAATTGTTCAGGATCAATTTTGCTCTGTGGAAATATTTAAAGCTATGGCATGGTGGGTAGCATCCTAAGCTGCTTCTTAGGACTCATTGTCACTATGGAAGGGAGAAGGACATCCCAGATCTTTGAAAGATTATTCGTGAATCCCTAGCACCTAGCATGCAGTCACATTTGATGCTTCTTAAGTGAGTGAGTACTTGGGACAGCTACAAAGGGCAGGGACAAGAACAGGAGGCACCGCGTGCCAGAAGTGAACAGACCGGTGTTAGCTTAAAGCATTGTGCTTTAGTATCAAAATTTAGAGAGCATTTATGGTATAATATGTACATTTTAATAAGGTATTTAGAGAGCCTTTGGCCACAGTTAATGCAAGCCACCTCAAATGCACAGCTTTTTCAAATATAAGGCAGTTTGTGTTGCTACATTTTAAATCTTCATACTATATGATTTTGCTGTTGTTTATTCTGAAGAGACTCCAGGTAAATCAAAAATATTAAAAACAAACTTTACCTTGGGGATGAAAGCAAATTCTCACCTGTGAACCAGAGTGTTCTTCAGGCCACCAACCAGGCCTCGGGCGATGGTCTTTGCTCTGGGGGTGAGAATCGCTTGAGAGACATGGAAGGCTCCGTGTGGGACCCGCTCACTCAGAGTGGCCTCCAGGAAGAGGATTAGTTTGCGGACACTTGTGGTATTTGCCCAGGGTGCTGGGATCTTCTTTCCCGGCCACAGGAAGGGGTATTGCTTGTAGAAGGGGCAGTGATAGAAAATAAGAACCTGACACGTTCAAAACAGAAAAAGGAGAGCAATTTATGAACAAACTGAATATCAGCTCTTTGGCTTTTATGCTGATAACTAGGAGGAAAGGCAAACAAGTATAAACACATGAAAATTTAAGAATTGTTATATATATATTTTAGAAAAATCAATAAGCATGGATGTAAGCACTTGAATATATCTGACTTGAAGATTCTTAACTTTACTTTTGTCAGCATTTGGAAAGTATGTTAAAATCCTGAACCCCTCCTCAGACTATGATTTAAATGAATGCCTAAAATAAAACAGACAGGATTACAAAAGAAATCAATGAGAAGGAAATAGAGTTATCAATATAATAATTGAATTTGTAATAAATTAATGTATATGTTTCATAATAAATATATTAAATAAAAGCATTTTGTAGTAAGGTCTATAATTTTGAATTAATGATGAGTATAAATAGTATTTCAAGATTTCTGCAGTAACTGATACATGATATGGAAATATATGTGGTTTCTTTAGGGACAAAGTCATAGGTATGGGGCCAATACCTCATGATTGACTGCACTCATAATCTATGAGTGCATAATTTTCAGTTAAAGTCTAGTGAGAATAAATACACAGTTTTTTTCCTATCCAAATTCATGGACTTTTTATATTCTTCAGAACCTAGGCAGAGAACCCCCGAGGCTACAAGTTATGACTCAGACACCCACAAAATTGATACTGAGCTCTTGGAGTAGAGATGAACACACTGAACTAATTCGGGAGTACACAGATTTTCAATCGTGCGTGCTGACTCTGAATGAAATAATTCTTCCCAGGAGAGAGCAGGAGCATACTCAAGGCCAGGAGGACTTCTAAGAGGAGATGGGTCTCCTGGGGGACTTCTCAGGATGCTGGTGACTTTTAAAATAATTAGCAAGCCACCATAGCATTAATTAGTTTCTGAGAGGTAGCCGAGGGACAGGAAATCGCTATTTTGGTTGTCCCAGTTCAGAGCTCTGCTGCTTAGGTTTCTAGAAGTAATGTATGTCTCCCCCTTGAGGCACCAGTGATCTCTACCTGGAGGAAAGTCAACAGGGTATTTACAATCCCTGGACTGCAGCCCTTGGATAGCTGGCCGGAGAGCATGATCCTCCACGCACCCAAGATGGACTATGAATGTGTGTTTTGTTTCCAGTGCCTGTTTAGCTCCTAACTAAGGTACCTGACTAACTGCTCCTAAAAGCCTAGAGGTGGGGAGTGCCAGGTGTGAAGCACTGAACAGGCTAAGAGTTGTTGTTTTTAATGGTTTTGAGTAATGTCTCACTGACTGCTAATGATGTCTGTGGTAAACACACGTGTTAATGAGGTTAATCACAGGCTCCTGTAAGCAGATTGTTTGGGAGATTGCGGAGGATTTCCTGCTGGCAATGTAATTGGATGGTTGAGAAAGCTGGTGACTCCAGAGTCCGTGAGTGAGGAACGCTGGCTTGTGAACAGGACTGTGGGAGAGGTGGGGGGCTATGTGATCCCTGGGCAGAGGGTTAGGGCAGGAGAGGACAGTGAGTCCTTTTACTTAGGCTTGGAAAATATACAAAAAGTACAAATTTTACAAAAGGGATTTTACACCTGTCCTCAAAAGCCTTCTTGAACAATCTGATCCTAAAGGTTCCAGGGAAAATTTCTATCTACAGTAGGAGGTTTTCCTAGCAAACCAACCTTTATTCTATAGAATTCTAGGGGATGTCCCTTTTGCCCAGGGCTTGTGTTTTGCATCTTCTTCCCCACTTCACTCTGCTGTATTTTTCTCTGAGATACTTTCCCTTCCAACTCAGCAATTTACATTCAGTTTTTCTCTTGGGACTCGGATTTAAAATCTCATTTCCTTTGAGAAATATTCCTTCGCTGACCTCCTCTTACTCTGATCGGTCCTTTCCTGGAAGCCCCTGGGATGTAGATTTGACTATGTACTACTTTTCAATTAATTGATTACAAAACCCCCTTTCTTTGTATAGTACATTTAAGGAAGCTTTATCTGTCAATTGTATATCAATTGCTTTGTATTTCACCAGTGTTATCTATTCGTCCCTTCTTAGTAAGATTCTAAATACTGGTAATTTGTAGATTAAATGTTTAATTCATTGTACCCTGAAAACTCATAGCTATTAATGTACAAATCCATGTCTGAGCTGTGATGTAACTGCATGTTGAGTAAAGGAGATGTAACTGAATGGTTATACACTTCTTGTTATTAAATTGTACTAATAAAATACTCAGGGGCTTATGTGCAAGGCATGCCACTACATAATGAATATTTAAAGCTCAGCCACTGGTCCAGTCCTGCCCCAACAGGGGAGATGACTGAGGACTCTGCTATGACTTTGTTTTGCTTTTAAGAAGACACCTCCCAGGGAAAACTTTGGGAAAGGAAGGAGAACAGGGAGAGCCTAGAATTTAAATTGATGACATTCTCCCTTTTTCTGATATGTCGTCACAGGGTGTTTCTTTATAATTTTAAGCATATTTGTAGTTGGATGATGCAGATTAGCCCATACTTAAAAACAACGCTAGATCATCACTGTGCTGGGAGAAAGCCACTGTCCATGCTATCCATTATTCCTGAAGACACCTGTTAGTCCCACAGATTTCTAAACAATTTAGCATGCAGTATGGCAACCCATCCAGAATACTGTCTGTATGAAATTATAAAACTATATTTATAACAGGTACCTGGTTATAAACTTAGCTGCACTCACATTGAACCTTACCTGAATTCCAGGACTCAAAAGCCCTCTTACTCATTTCCCTCCTCCTCGCATTCTGATAACCCTCTAGACTTCCTGATAGTAGGGGCTCATGAATAAAAAGACGGTTTTTATTAGCATGCTCTATGACACTAGTTGTGGAAATCACCAGGGTGTGTGAAGAGCCCTGGGAGCACGAGAAGCTGTGGGTCTTGGGGAGCCTGTGGCGGCCTCCTGGCCCTTGTCACCCACTGGCAGTGCTCTCCCGGGCAACTTGCTCCATCTCTCTGCGCCTCAGTGTGCTCTTCCGTAAACACAGAAGAATAACAAACTACCTATCTCATAGTGTAGTTGAAAGGATTAAATGAGTTAATTCATGTACTGAGCACATTGTAGAGGCTCGATTAATGTTTGTTAGCTGTTATTGTCGTTGCTATTACTACTATTTAATAATGTAAGAGAGAGACTCCATTAGGGGAAAATGTCTCCACGTGAGACCTGTGAGTGTAAATGTATATAAACCCATGTTTGGAGGAAGAGGTATAATAAATACTTGGCAAACCATCACTTACAAATGTTTTTGTGAGAAAAAATAGCTTAGATAAATTTTAACAGATACTAAGCGTTGCCTCATTAGCCTCTGAAGTTTCGGCCTTAAGCACTACCACGAGTGTGCGAAACACCCTGGTATTTCCAAATATTCAGGCCAAACCTGGGAGCTGCGCCTGAATCCTCACCTCCTTTCACACCCTGAAGCCCAACGATTAGGCAACCCTGTTAGCTCTCCTTTCAGATAGACTCACGATTCCGCTAATAGTGTCCTCCCTGGTTTTCCCCTACTTGCCCCACTCTACTTATACCAGGTGTTATCCTGGTAACCAGAGGGATCTCCTTACCTAAGTCAGGTCCAGCACCCTGTGCTCAGAACCCTCCTCACTCGGAGTGAAAGCCAAATCCCTGCAGGGCCTCAAGGCCCACATAACCGTCCATTCTCTCTGACCTCCTCAGCGGCTCTGCTCCCCAGGTCTCCCACCCCTACCCTGCTTTTTCTGAAAGGTGCCAGGAACACTCCTGCTAAGGGCTCCGCGCCGCCTTGTTCCTCACCAGGAAAGCTCTTCCCCCAATGTCCATGTGATTAACTCCCTCAAATGTCATTTTGCAATGAGGGCTGTCTTGATCAACCTATTTAAAATTGTGACCAACTCTCCAACCCACAGAAACCTGGCTCTCTCTCACCACGCTTGCCTTTCTTTTTCATGGCTCTTGTCATCTTCTGACATTATATATAATGTATTTATTATGTTATTATCTAGGAGCGATCTTCCTCCACATGAATGCAAGCTCCATTAGGGCCACAATATTTGTTTTATTTATTAATTGGTCCCAAGTGCTTAGAATGGTGCTTACTTAGCACATACTGGGTGTTCAAAAAGTATTTGCAAGTGAATAATCTTTAATTGATTTTTAATTAAAAGCTCTTCCCTAAGTTCAAAAATAACTGCCTCTTGAAGATGCTTTGGTTGATGTGTCTATGAGCAAGTGAGCAACTATGAATGAAAGAGTCTGTCTTTTTTTTTCTTTTTTAAAGAGAGTCTAAATTGGAAGCTGACATTTTCTGGAGCTCTTCTCTCTCACTATCTACCATCCTTTGAGATCAAGCAGAATACATCCAAGGCCCACATTCCTTTCTGTGAGTATGTGCCTCCCGGGTCTAGGTTTGGGGACTCAGCATAAGCAACCTGGGCCTGCATCCCTCCCATGGATTCTTCCTTCCTTAACTCTCTCCAGCTATGACCCAAAGTCTGTGAAGACGGCCTTTTAAAATATTAATACACCTGAAATGATCAGTTCACATGTCTTTGTCAGCTAATGCTTTTACTTATCAAGCAATACTTTGTCAGGGATTTCCTGACATTGAGTTGAAGGCAGGATTAAACAGACTGTCCCTGAGGGGAGGCAGGAGTATGAAAAGCAGACCCTATAGGAGAGAGTAAAATGGTATAACCAACTGGCCGAATTCCACAACTTCACCTTGGGCTGGTTCTGGCCAGGCCACTCAAAGTCAATTTAGATGCCAAACAGGTTGCCAAAAAAAGTTTTAAATACTTGGCAGGTGTTCACCCCAGTTCAAGGGCATCCAGGGGAACCCGTTGGAGCTATCCTAGAGCCCAGGAACCTGTGTAAGTACGCTAAATATTCCAAAAAAATCTATGCCTTCTTAGCCTAAGAGCCCTGGAGTGCTCTGTCTCCAGGCAATATAGAAAAGGCAGAAATAGTTCTGTTGTTGCCTTTGGAAGCTCATCTCGGTTTCCTCCTACCTGGCACTTCTTCTCCCACAGGATCTGTAGGGTCAGACTCTCCACATTGCAGGCCAAGCACAGCTTGTTTCCAAAGGCCTCCTGCATCTGGTGAACCAGATGTTTGTGGTGGGCCTCATCCATGGCGTAGAAGTGGTTGAAATCCAGGAAGACAATCTCTCGGGGGTGCTGTGTAAGAAACGAGTCAATCTCCATCAGCCCATCCCAGACCTTGATGCCAAAAAGCCCGTGGATGAAGTAGATTTCCTGGTCAGCATCCCCTGGCTTGGAGGACACACGCAGGTCAAAGTAGCGGATCCCAGCCTCTAGCTGTTCTCGGAAGGTCAGGTTCTGAGTCACAGACCATTTCTTCATTAGCTTCTTCACCAAGGAGATCCTGGCGAGGCGTATGATAGCCGGGGTTTGGTCAGGTCCCACGGGAGACTTCTCATCTACCCAGTAGCTGAATGAATCATGGGAACCTACACACAGGAATAAAGGTGAGGAAAGCAGTTGAGACTGGACCTGGCAAAAAGAAGCCGACTGATAGGAAAACAAACAAAAATTAGGAGCCAAATACACACCAAAGAATTGTAAACAAGTATTTGCAAAAAATTTCAAGCTTACTAGGAATGAAAAAAAGAATAAATAAAAGTAATGTCATCTTTTTCGCAGCTTGTTAAGCCTGGGGTAAAACTATAATCCTTATATATAGCTAGGGTAAGGTAACTTAATAAATACTGTTTTAGAAAGCTATTTAGAAATATACTTGGAAAAAGGAAGTTGAAAATACTCATATCATTTTATCTAATTTCATTTCAAGAAATCTATTTTGAGGAAAAAACTAATTTTGGGAAAACAAATGTTTGCTGAAGAATAATAACAGAGACAAGCCAGAGGTACCTTGAGTGTCCCTCATTGAAGAGTCATTGAAACAAAAGGTATGAAAATCCTGTGTCTTCTCAGTAATGCTAGGATAGCATCTAAATTCTAGGAAAGGCAGAATTTAAAAACAAAACCCTGACTTATTTTTATGCTTCTGTAAATACTATTTTACTATTGTAAGAATGAGTCCATAGGGGAAATATTATTAAGGAAGCACTGGTAGTAGCTGCTGTCCAAGTTCGCTGAGCTGCCCAAGTATGACAAGAAGAAAAAAGATTCTGGAAAGTTGAGCAAGAAAGACAAAGACCCAGTGAATAAATCTGGAAGCAAGGCCAAAAAGAAGTGGTTCAAAGGCAAAGTTCAGGAACAGCTTAATAACAGTCTTCTTTGACAATGCAACAACAACAAACTCTGTAAGGAAGTTCCCAACTACAAACTTGTTACCCCAGCTGCTGCCTGAGAGACTGAAGATTGCGGTTCCTTGGCCAGGGCAGCCCTTCAGGTGCTCCTTAGTGAAGGACTTGTTATTGAACTAGTTTCAAAGCACAGAGCTCAAGTAATTCTCACCAGAAACACTAAGGGTGGGGATGCTCCAGCAGCTGGTGAAGATGCAAGAAAAACAGGTCCCACCAGTTGTACATTTTGAAAAATACAACTTTACTAAGTTAAAAAAAAATGAGTCCATAGGAATGATTTCTTGACAGATCAGATAATCATCCCGAGGAGTTCAACACAGGTTAGTTATATGGCCTCTTTTCAACTCATCTCTTAATGAGTCAAATCTGCTATTAAATAATCAAATGTATATTCACTTTCTCTGCCTTAAATCACAGGAGGGTAGGTTTCCTCCTAGACCCTGAGATGATCTGATTGTTAAAAAGTATACGAGACCATGACAGGCACATTTTGAACTATAGTGAGAAACTATTTCTAAGGTGAAAATTGTCTTTAACCAGTACCTTTTCATTTGTCACTGGTTTCCATCCAGTGTCAGCCATCACTATTAGGTTAGCTTTGTCACCGGCTCTGATACTGGGGACTCCACACAGGTGGCTGTGCTGTGCAAGCAAAGTCAAGGAGGAAAATGCCCTCATTCTGACACTGTTAACCTTGTTCTCAACCACTACCACCCAAGTTTGAATTTAAATGCTTAACTCATAATAGTTGATTGTCACCAGTTATCCATGTTGCTAAATCTTAGAGTATACATTTCATGAATAGAGAACTTTACAAAACTCTACTGTTTTATGCTTTATTATTTCCATTTTCTTGAAAATAAGTCATTCTGGGATAGCTTTACTATTTTATCTTCTCGGAAATAAAGTGAAAAAGGAAAAAAATGTGACAAGCAATGCTTTACTTTTATGTAGTCTCTAGAACATGGAGAAAATTCAGTAACTATTATGAAAAAATATATTTACCAGTCATTAGGCAAAGACAATTTGCAAGCAAGAAAATTACTAGCATATTTCAGGTAAAAAAAATTGCTCTTACTACTAGAAATGTGGAGCAGGTCTCCCTGGATTTTCCATATTGGTTGTTTCTGTTAATGAGGCTCATTGGATACTTGCCTAATGCTCTGCTTCCTTTGGCTGTACAGAAATGGGAAATCTTTATACCTCCTCATTGAGAGATTTATTATGAATACATTATATATAGATGCTGGAAAGCCAGTTCTCTCTTCTCTTTAAATCATATTAGCAGCCCAGCTGTTTAGCATTGAGTGTGCAATGCAGCGCGAGGCACACGCTGAACTTCACTCTTTCCTGGGAATCAGGGAACAGCCATTATCCAAGCCAGGGAGGCAGGACAAGTCCCCTCTGGAATAGTCTTGTTGCTGCTGAACCCAGCCTTATCTCCACAGGGAGATGTGCTAACAACCTCTAATGCTTTTCTCCAAGTCTGAGGGTTGTACAGCAATGTGACAATGATGGGGCTCCAGGGACCATTTCTGAATACACAGGGACACACGTGGTACCCAGCCCACCCCACAGAAGAGGGAGGGCCGGCACGTTCCCTGGGAACAGAGTCTCTCTTTATCTTTGCTCCCTTTTCCATTTCCGCTCTTCCTTTTTGATATCCTGTGTCCAGAGCCGCCCCCTTCCTCCCCTTGATCGGAAAGAACGGGACAATGGAGTAGATTGTTTGCTGAATGTTTTACAGCAGTTGTCCTGCTAGGCCTACAGCAGTCAAAACCAGCCATCAGTCTTTAACTACTATCATTGTTTTTGCCTTTCTACTTATTTTTTCCCACAGGAAGCTTTTGCCTAATATAGAGTGAGTGAAATAACATTGGTATTTTAACTATTTTGTTTTTGAAAAACAGGATAAAATGCCCTGCTCTATCCTGCACATAGAATATTTACAAGATATGCAACCTGCAAATAGTACTGATTAAAAATATCCCAATATTTCACACCCTAAGTTCATTATCAAAATTTTGTCTTCTCCCTACACCTGATGGAAGTTATTTTACTCTTTAAAGAATGTCTATAGTGAGGGCTCTTTTTCTCTTTGCCTGGGATGCGTGGATTAAATCCATGTGTGTCATTGGTCCTTCCTTTACTCTCTAAGAGAATGGCTGTAAGGGAGTTGTTAAAGATAGCAGCTTCCTGATTTCTTTTTTTTTTTTTATGACAGGGTTAGAAAACAGTTTAGGACCTCTTCCTGCTGTGATTTCTGCCACAGGAAGTATTTTTGCTGCTACTGCGCAGTAGCACCTATCCACCTTCACCCATCTCTATCTATTGCTCCTTTAGCTCTAATAGACATAAGTGGTGCTCTTTATCTGAAGAACAAAACAAAGCGCTTTCCCTTACATGCCTTACCCCTTCAAGTGACTGTCTTCTTTTCCTTACTGCCAAATTCTTGAAAGCCAGTCCTGCTTCTTGGCCTCTCCTATGAACTACTCCCTTCGTGGGCCACTTCTTGTCCTTCTCTTGCTACTTTTGATCCTTATAACCTTCCAATCAACAACTCCAAATGGCTTTTTTTCTTCCTGGCTTCTCTGAGGATTTGCTAAGTCAGTTCTTTTTTGGAACCTTCCATTCCCTTGCCTTACATGAAGGTTCGGAACACACTTCTGGGTTTTCCCAACTTCTGTTAACCATCTCTTTCTGTCTCTTTTGCTGGCTCCTCGCCCTCTTTCTTGTCCCCAGATTTAAATGTTTTCCAAGGATCTCTATTCTCTGCCTTTTCCCACCTTTTCATTCACTCCCCAAGTTCACCACAGTGCCATCATACAAATGACACTAAAAGCTTCACTTCTAGCCCAGACCCTTCTAAAAGTTCCAACTTTGTTCTCAACTTCCTGCTGTGGTTTTCCACCTAATGGTCTGCTCACACAACATATTATACATTTTGAAAGTCCAGCCCCTCATGCTGCCCCCACCCTAAAGTGTGTCTCCTGAATTTCTGATAATAGTTCACTCAGTCACCCAAATTGAAAACTTGGATTCAATTTAGATTCTTCCTTCTCCCTCACCCTCTGTATCCCACCAGTACCAAAACTTTGCATTTGACTTTTGCAACATATATCAAACCAGTCTCTTCCCTTAACCTTCAACTGCCCCCACCTCATTCATGCGTTCATTATCTGTCATGTAATCAGGACCAAAAGAACCTTGACTTTTGTCCTTCACTCCAGCCTCAATTTGTTCATATACAAAAGTTAATCATCTCAAGATACTTTTGAATATGCAACTTTCCTCCTCTCCTCTCTCTCCCTAACCACGTTCAAGTTCTGAACACTGTTGTTTAGGACTCTCTTCAATGTGGCTCCAGTGCATTGCTTCCGACTCAACCAGGCGCCTACACCATGCCTGGCACCTGCTGATGTGCAGTTCACATTGATAGGCAGGCTTCTTCCTGGACTCTGTTCTCTTTCTTTTGCTGATACCATCCATAACATATTTTCTCACCCCAACTCTGTACACATCTTTTCCCCAGCATTTATACTCCATATCAGGCAGCTTACCCCATCCCAGTTTTCTCACCTGTAAAATCAGCATGATAGTGCCTATTGTCACAAAAATTGTGAGTGTAAGAATGTACACAAAGTGCTTGGGACAATGCTGACACATGGTGAGTGCTGAACTGTTTTTTTTTTTTTTTTTTTTTTTTTTTCCCACCTGGCCGCAACGTTATCCAGTTGCTTAGACAGGTAAGCCACTGGGCTCTCCCAAGGTCCGGCTGATTGAGTTAAGACCCCCAGAGCAACCTTGTCCTTTTCATGCACGTGTAGATAGAAGGGCCGGCTGGGGTCTGGTAGGCCCAGAGCTGGGGCTTTACTAAGGAGGTCCTTTATTTGAGCAAAGGCCTGTTCCTGTTCTTTTCCCCATGCCAGGGGTAAGGTGTCTGGCCCACGCAGGGCCTGGTAGAGTGGCCTTGCTCTGGCTGCGAACCCCGGGATCCAAATTCTGCAAAAGCCGGCTGCTCCCAGGAACTCACGTAATTGTCTTCGTCCGCTCGGGGCCGGGAAGCGGGTAATGACCATTTTCCGGTCTGTATTTAGGGATCTTTTGCCTTGGGAAATTAGGAACCCTAAATATTTGACTTCTTGTTGGCAGATTTGTGCCTTTTTCCGTGAGACTCGGTA